TGGTTCAGTTATTGTGGTACCTTCCCTAGCTCCGCCCTGTCTCAGGAGTCTGAATGGTCAGTGAGGGCCACTGTGTGTCGACTTGTCCTCTCTGCTAGAGAGCCCAGGGTAGGGCGGTGCGCTCTGCGGGGTGCCTGGCCGCAGCCCTCCTCTGCCCCTTCAGGCTTGCAGTTGCATGGGCAATTTCCATCCTAGCCTGGAGGGTGTTCTGCTGGACAGCAGGGCAGGGAGGGGCTCAGCAAGCTGAAGCACAGCTCTTCGAGGATGGGTCTGCCTTGGCGTCTGCATGATGGGAATGAGAGACTTCTTCTAGCCTACTACACGTTATTTGAAAGGAGTGGTATGACGGTTACCAGTACCCGTATGTGGTTTTGAGCCCTTCCCCAGCACAAGAGGACAGACTAAACCTTGGCAGCTGAAGGATGAAAGTGTCAAGCGTGTGGAGCGGGTGGAGCCCTTTGGATCGTTGACAGACCTCGCCATTGGCCTGCAGATCCCACAGAGCAGAGCGCCTTCTGTTCAGGACTTCCAGCACATGGGAGATATAAGGATAAAGGTCAGAAGGCGGTGTGCGGGGGAGGTTTGGAAGCAGACAAGGACACACTGTGGAGCAGAGTGCGAAGTTTGCAAAAGTCAAAGCACTTCGCCATGAGCTTCCTGGAGTCCTGCCCCCTGACCATGCTTGGCCGTTAGGACAGCACTGCTGTGGAAGCTTGCTGAGCACAGTGGGTTCCTCAGGCCTGCTCTGCATGCCACCGTTGGTCCTGGGGGTTTATAGGGCTGGGTTCCCACATCCTGGGCCAGCAGGCAGGAGCTCGGTCTAGTGGGTTCTCACGTGCCTTTTGAGACATTTTCTCTAGCATCAGCCACCCCAGCTCACTGCCTGTTATGGTGAGCAAGAGGACGGGGAGCCAGGATACAGTTTTCTAATAATATCCGGTGTTGCTGTCTGTGGGGATGACAGAATCCATGTGTCATTTGGCCTGTCTGCCCTGAACGCAGGGAGCCACCCTGTGCTCTGGCTGACTCTGTCCTGAAGAGGCCCTGGGGCTGCATGTTACAGTTCCTAGTGAAATCAGGACCTGGGGGGCCATCCCAGGGGCCCAGGAGGGAGCATGGGTAGAGCCGGGTCTGGGGGGACCTGGGGCCAGAGGCTCATCTGAGACCGTGGTGCTCTCCCACCCCGCCCTCCCTCGCTCCGGCTCTCGTCAGACTCGAGGTGAAATACGACCACTCTCCTGACCCAGGGACTCTTTCTCATTTCTCTGGCTCAAAAGTTGTGGCAGGCATTGTGGGGGGCGGGGACAAGTTGGATTTACTCCACTTTCAACAACATGCATGTTGGGACCCAGAGGATGCCTGGGCTTCACTGGCCTGCAGCGTGGAGCGCAGGAGCCTCCTCGTGGCGCCCGCAGAGGCAGGGAGGGCACGACTGAGGCTGACAGCAGAGGTTCTCCTTGCTGAAATCAGCGGTCGTGTTCCTCTTGCCAGACATAAGCAGATGAACTCCAGTGGTACACATATGTGTCACCACCAGCAGGGAGATGATTGCTTTTCGGGGTGGTGGTTCCCTGTCAATGCCTAGTATTACACTGGACATACAGTAGGCTCAAAACAAGTGCTTCTTGAGTGGTTCCTTCCAGAAAATATCCAGTGAAAATTTGGCTAAGGAGAGAAATGATTTAAATCCTTGGTCCTCATTTTCCACCCCAAGTCATTTTTCATAGCACTTGAGAAACTGAGGTTTTGTTTGGGACATTGTGGAGTCAGTGCCTGGGTTGTCCTTGGTGAAAAGATGCCTGTATTCTGGGCATGGGACATGGCCTGTGGGGCCTGAGGAGTTCAGAGACCACTAGGGTAAGACAGAAATTGTTCTAGAAGGTTCCAGAGCACCTTGCCAAGGAGACTGAACCAGAGCAGCCGGTGTCCATGCTGGCTTGTGCACTCCAGCCACCTGATGCTTCCTGATGTAGGGTTGAGGGAAGTTGGGCTTCCTGGGAAGAGAACGCTCCCCACGGGGCAGTGGAAGGAGGGAGTGGGAACGGGGCTATCAGGAGGAAGCGCAGGCTGCTTGGAGATGGGGCCTCCCACCTGTGAGGCCTGCGGAGAAGTGGACCCTATTGCCCGGGGTCACTTTGAATTCTGAAATTAAGCGTTCTCTTCAGTCAGTCATTTGAATACCCTTTTTTACCTAGAGTGTGTTACAGGATCCAAAAGGAGTGTGGGACATTCACAGTCTAGGAGATGAAAACTTGACATTTAACATTGAGCATGACTGCTATCTATATTTGGTATATTTGTTTTTCTCAATATCAAGGTTAACATCTTAGTGACTTATTTTCTAAACAGACAGTAAACACAAAACTTACAAAGCAGCTCCAAAAGCTACCATGTTTCTGTGTATCTCGGGCTTGGGAAACGTGGGTGGCTTAAGTGGGGGAAATCTGGTGGTCAAAGGCACATCACGGCCCAAAGTTTCTCATCCAGACTGTGGCCTGCTTAGCTCTAGATTGACCAGCAAAACTCTTGCCCAGCAGTGGCATTCTAGCTCGTAAGCTAGCTCCCACTGACAACTGGGGCGGGAGGAAAGCCCCTGTAGCTGTCTCCGCAGTGGGGCGAGTCCCTGCCACAGCCGTAGCCCTCTCCTCTTGGCACACAACTGAGTGAGCGGACGGCTAGTATGAACTTGGTTATGAACTTACCTGCGGAGTCGCTGCAGGGGAGGTAAGTGAGAGGAGGTGGAGACTGGCTGCTGAGTCCCCAGCGTCCTGTTCACAGTGCTCCAGAAGCTTTTAGAAGTATTGACACTTAGTACTTGGTTTAGTGTGTCACATGCCTGAAACTTAAGATCTTTTTCTCCAGTGTTCCACTTTAGTTGGCAAAGCATAAGTTTAGAATATCACACCAGAATTACTAGGTATGGTTCTGCCTGGGATAGGGGATGGGCGTGACCTTGGAAGGTTTTGAGTCTGTGCAGTGTCTTTTCCCTTCCGAGAGGGAAGCAGCTGAGCATGTGCCCCAGGTCATATGGAGTGCTAAGAGCCCCCCTGGGGGCCACAGCCAGGTGAGCCTGCAGACTCCTCAGCCATGGCTCCCCTTTCTCTTTGAGTCAGACTTGGAAGTGATAAAGCCATGTGACAGTAATTCCTTAACACCGTCTCCACCTGTCCCTCTCTCAGAAGGGCTCCGGGTAGCTGGGAAACACGTTTATTTGCTGAAAAGCTGTAAGCTAGGTGTTCAGACCCCTTATGAGGTGGACATTCTCCAGGAAAGCCACATCTCCCATGTTCTCCTGCTGACAGGGTGCTCAGGACAGGCTGTGAGATGGTTGTTCAAAGCCTGTACATGCTGGGTGCCGTTTATTTTGTTTTCCTTCATTCAGTAATCACAGAATTGTACACCTTAAGGGTCTTAGACACCACCCAGGCCCCCTTGTTCATTTTGCAGGTGAGGGAAGAACTTGCCTGAGCCCTGATCTCTTGGCACAGCTTGTAGGGTCCTCGAGGGGCCCTGGTGGGACTGCAGGATGGGTCTCAAATGGCCCGCCATTGCTGTCCAGGTTGTTTGGTTAAATGGCTCCAAAATCACTCGTCTCTTTCTTCCTGTGCTCAAGGACATGGAAGATGAAGTTCCAAGAGCTCTGTGGGTGGGCGTGAGGCTTGACACAGGCAGGTCTCAGTATCCTCAAGACGAATTTCCACACCTGGTCTCTCCTACGTGACCATCACTAGTGTGATCTCCAAGGCCAGCACGTGGATCTGAGGGAGAGCTGCTGTGGCCTGGGTGCCTGAGAGCAAGCTTCCACTTGAGGCTGGGGGCCAGTTCGCTGGGTCCTCCGTGAGGGGCAGTGTGGTGCAGCCCCAGGTGCATGCTGGGCCAGCCCCTGGGGACAGGCTTCTCCACAGTGCTGGGCAAATCGGTATAATTGTAAAAGCCCCACAACTCGCATTTATTTATTAACACTTTTCATTTCAGGAGTGTTTTGGTAGGTAAATGCTCCTAAATGAGAGAATGATAGGAGAGCCAGCGTGTGGGGTGAACTGTGCTGTGCCACGTGGGGTGTCCTGCTTCCGTTTACACCCGAGGGGGGAGGTGGCCCGTCAGAGCCCTGGCCTGGGTCTTGGGATTGGAGCATTGGGTGTGACGATGTGGGGTCTGAAGGCTCTTTGATGACAGTCACTCATGAAGAGACACACAGGTGTTGCCCTCTCTCCTCCCAAGGACGGACAAGTGATTCTCCACTTCTGGTTTCATAGTTGTGTTGTTGGAGTTTTAATGGTGCTTTTTCCTTACATACACATGAAGCGACTGCTCATCAAAAGCTTGCGGAGCATCAGAACTGAAATCCTTCAGTAAATACTGCTTTCTTATTTTACTCCTAGTTCCATCCAATGTGCAAAACTTTTTTCTGTTTTTCAAAAGATGAATAGAAACAACTTTCAGAGTGACGAGGAACAAGGTGACTTGGTTTGCATGCGGTGCGCTGGGCTTCGGCTGGCAGCGGCTTGGGGGCGGGCTGTGTGTCTGGGCAGGGCCCCCGCAGGAGTGTTGTTCCAAGTAACCACCACTCTGTCAACACGGACTTCCTCCACCGCCAGCCGAGGGGTGGTGTCTCCTGAGCACTGGTTCCAGGATTACAGCTGTTGAGAGTGAGTCGCTGACCACGATTTCAGTAGCACGCACTCATTCTCAGGGAAGAGGTTGATGGTGCCTTCCTCGGTCACGAATGTGCCTTAACAAGTGGGTTTGGGGAGCTGCTTATTTTAGTAGCAGAGTGGGGTTTGACTCTCACATGACTGTTTTTTCCTTTCCCCCCTCTTGGAAGATTAAGTTCAGGCCTCAAGAGTGCCCTTGATAAAGTGAGGTAATTTCTTCTTCCTCCTGCAGAAATGTGGTGGGAAGATGGTGATCGTCTGGGAGAGCATGAATCCCTTTGCTCTTGAGGGAGGGATGCCGTCCTGGGATGCTCAGCTCATGGTCTGTCCGTGATGTGCTTTCAGGTGTGGCAGATGAAGACGCTCTTGCAGAAGAGTGCCTGCGAAGAGGCCAGCATGCCCTGCCGGCCCAGCCAGCCAGTGCCCGCTCGCTGAAGTCGCCCCGGCCCACCTCTCTGCTCAGACACACACCTCACTACATCCATGAGGACGACAACGAGCAGGATGGATCGGGGGTCCCCAGCAGCTGGGATCCCTTCATGTCTTCAGCAGGTGTGCAAAGGGAAACCGAGCCCCCTGTGTCCTCGGCAGGTGTGCAAAGAGAAACCAAGGATAAGTGTACTCAGAGGGAAACTTCCCTAGGTTCAAGAGGACAGAGGGGAAAGAAGCCACTCCTGTGCTGTTGCGTTGTGGTCTGAGCAGGGCGCAGGGGAGTTGGGGGAGGGCAGGCGAGGGACGGTCAGGGCAGGGGCAGAGGAGGTGCTTTTGCTGCTTGCTCGCCTCCGGGGCTCCTTCACGCCGCTCTTCCACGTGAGGTTCAGCTGCGGGTCCTCAGAGCCTCCCCACAATTAAAACGGGGTCCCAGCCTTCTGTGAAGTGTATGAAGTGTGTGGTCTTGGGCAAAGGATGAGCAAGAGCTGCTACAGAATTGCAAGGTGCTGCTTTAGATGCTACTTTTTGTAACTTTTGACTTAGTGCTTGACACCTGTGACGTAACCTGATACTCCCAAAGGCCACTTGTGAAAGGCCCACGGAGCCCGGGCCCAGCCTGGGCAATCTCACACTGACATGTGCCTCCTGCCCTTCCTTCCTCCCAGGATCAGCTCCACCTCCTCTGCCTTCTTTTGTCTTGGTTCAAAACAAAACAAAAGACCCCCTGAGTCCGGTCCTGTGGCGAGGGTCCATTGGTGGCCTCACCCTGTATCCACGGGTGGAAGTGGGAGTGTCCCCCTCTGCCGCTGGCCTGTGCCAGGCTCCAGGACCCACTTCCCAGCGCCCCAGCCCTGCTCTCTTAACAGAGCCCGAGTGGTCTCTGAAGTGAGGTCTCGCTGGACAGTTCTGGCTTATCTCTGAGGGAGTCCCAAGCCTAGCGCACATTTATACTCATTAGCTGGGAGCGTTTGACCATCTTGCTGTCGTCACTGTCGGGGGCTGAGTTGCCCACAGCAGGTTATGTTGTGGAGGAAAATGTTGTCACTGGACACTTTTTGTCAGGGTGACTTCAGTATGTGTCACAGGGTTAATTCTGTGGATTTGGGCAAAATAGTGCAAGCAAGCTCTTGAGGTGCCTCTGGTCCTCAGATACAGCAGTCGTCTGTTGCAATTTTGGGGGGACAGAAGAACATATGCCACCAATAATAGGAGTCCAGTGACATGTTTTGCCCACCAGGACGTGGAGTGTTTCTGGGGCTTCAGGTGATGGGCACAGCAACCCTCACGCAATAGCAGATGGGTGATTTGGGGACATCGACCTTTCCCTGTGTGGTTGAATGACAGAGAGCGGCAGCTTCCTGGGCTGTGAACGGGCTTATGTAAGGGAGGAAGGAGCTCAGAAGGAGCTCACTGTGCAGTGAACGGGCTTATGTAAGGGAGGAAGCACCCTAGGGTTTACTCTCAGCTCCTGGCACCAAATGGTCAGTCCGAGGAGCAAAGGGTAGTGTTATACTGAGGAATGTTTGCAAGGTGCAGGATCGAACAGGGCTCTATATTTTGTTTCCATGAATAAGTACCTTCAACCAGTTTGGGTTGGAAGGACACTATAAACCTGGCTTGCTAGGTGCCTTGTGGTTTCCTAGTTTCCAAGAATAAGGCATGCAGGTATGGACCTGCCTGGAGGAGCCTCTGGGAACAGGGCCTGGAACAGGAGGCGTAGCGCTGCCAGCAGACAGGGCTGAAAGGGCATGCCCCATTTCAAGATGAGGCTCATCTCTGTGGTGGGCACCTGCTGCTGCAGATCCCCCCAAAGACCCCACCTGCCTTTGTCTGGGCAATCTTGTGCTGACATGTGCACCTGCCAGCAGGGCTCAGTGCTGCAGAGCCAGCCTCTGTGTCTCTTGTTTCCTTTTTCCAATCAAGTTGTGAAATCTTGAAAAAAGTTACCAAAGTTAAATTATCAAAGAGTTGAGCACATAACTTTCACAAAAACATATAGCAGGTGTCAAACACATGACAGGGTCACTTCGGAGGAAGATTCAAGAGTATACAGAGTAGGAAAAAGGCCAGAATAAAATTGCAAAGTTAGATACAAGTGTTTTATGCCCTCCAGGGGCATAATGGTTTGCCCCTCTGCAGAAAGCACCCGTAGCTGATCCATCCAGCTGCAGAGCCTGGGCACTGAGCAGGAGGGAGGAGTGAGTTGAACAAGGGTTCCCCCCTGCAGACCAAGTCTGGACGTTCCCGGCATTGGCACTGGAAGTCTCGCTTCCCAAGAAACCCTTGGTCACGGAACATTAGAGGACTCTCGGCCAGGCCTCGGGGGCTCCAGTGTGGCCACAGATCCTGCCGTCACCTTTTTGCTGGGTTTGCAGGTCTTGGGCAATTCTTCTTGAAGCACATAGTAAGGAGCTTCATTACTGCAGAAGTGGTCACTGCTTGAGCTCATGGAACTTGCTTCTGCCTGTCAAGCAGCAACGGGTGCAGAGCACAGTCCTGGCTGATTCCAGGACGTGATTTTTCTAGGCTAAAAGCTTTCACTTGAGACACACTCCTCAGAACCCTGAACTGACTACTTGAGTGAGAATTTCCCATGTCTGTGGCATGTCTAATGTAATTCACTATCAGGATGCAACCTAAGTAACCTAGGAATGTTGAGAAAACCAGGAACTACAGGGAGTAGTAATTTTATTTTTAGCCGGAATGGTTCTTTGTTTCGGAAGCTCTTGTCAGTGTCATGCAGGTGCAGGTGAAAATGTACTGTGATTTGACTTGCTGGCATCTGCTGTTTTGTTGAGCACACTGTTAATTTAAATTACTAACCTTTAAAACTTGCTCTGCTTTATGATAGAGGACAGAGGCACTTTTGCGTTTCATATTGGATGCCACTTGGAAACCCATAAATCGTAAAGCAAAACTTTGAAAAAGGATTCGTAGTGTTTTGCACTTATGAACTCCACACGTACTGCAGGCTGATGGAGAGCACATAACTGTAAGGGCTGGCTGGTTAGCGCAGGTGGCCAGGGCGTGGTGCTGACAACACAGGGTCCAGGGTTCAGTCCCTGCACCAGCCAGCCGCCAAAAGAAAGAACACGCAGCCTTTCAAAAGGAAGATTTAAACTATTCACCATAAATGAAGAATAACATTGATCCTTTGACTTCTTTTTGGCTTTGGTTGGAAGAAAGCAACTCACCCAGGAATGCAGTGGAATGTTCCCCTTTCTGCAAAGCACAGCATGGAGCTCATGAAACCAAAGATTGCTGTTTAACCATGTTGTCAGCTTTGGGTGGCTTGAAGTCTGTCTTTCTGATGAAACTAACATATATTAATACATGTTTCTCAGTTAAGAATTTTCAACAGTCTTTTTTTTTTTTTTTGTCTTTTTGTCTTTTTCCGTGTCCGGCAATGGATCGCAACCCTCAGTGTTGCCCCCGTACCGGACCGGGGACCGGCAACGGGATCGCAACCCTCGGTGCTGCTCCTGCGCCTCGCTCAGCCAGTGAGCGGGAACTGGTCTGTATGTGGGATCCGAACCCTCGGGCGGGAGCGCCACCGCGCTTCCCAAGTGGCGCACTATCCAGTGCGCCACCGGGCCGGCCCTCAGCAGTCTTTTTCAAAAGTGTCTTCCTATGAGGTCTTTTTTAAAGTAGTCCTTGGTCTGAGAGCCTTGGTGCCACCGTCGCAGGTCCACTAAAAGTTCTGGCCAGGGAGGGCTGGAAAACGTCCTGCTGCAGCCAGAGGCGTTTCCTTTGTTAGAAGCTCGGGTGACAGGGAGACTTTCTTTTTCTTTTTTCAGTTACTATTGAGCCATTTATGAATTTACCAAAATGGTTCTACTGTGTAAGGGACCCTGCATGCCCTCTCCCCTCCCTCACCACCCCTCAGCCTCTACAGATAGGACGCCAGGCAATGGAAACTCCTGCAACATCCCTAACATCTCGAGGAAGACTGGTGGCACAGGAGCAGGTGGTCCGGTGCCTGCACAGCCCTCACGCCATCCGTCTTCCCACAGTCGGCTCTTCTGGGCCCTTCACCTAGTCTGAGAGTGACCGCTGAGTGAGTGACGTCCGGGCGAGCAGGTCTCAGTCACAAGGAGGTGCAGGGGTGTGAGAGCAGGACTGGCCTCTCTTCCCTCACTTGCACGGGCTCCCAGCCTCAGCGGGAATCGGTGGAGTTAGAGATCAGTCCGTGGCGGGTTAGGCGGTTTTTTCTTTTTCTTTGCAGTTTATTTTACAGGTAAATGTAATTGAGTCTGGTGAAAGGAAAAGAAGCCATCCTCATCTCCCTGCATGAGAAACTTTTAAAAAAATTATAAGTAAAATGAGTCAAAAAGCCAGGAAGCCACTCTTGGTGACTTCAGCCCCATTCTGAGAGACCCGCGCCAGGGCCTTTTAATTCACTTCACTGTCAGCATGAGTGGGGCCTCTGCTTCCCACAGTGCTGTGTGCAATCCCTTCCCTGCTGAAAACCTCTCTCCCACCCGTGCTGGACTCTAAGCCAAGACAGAACTACTTTCGGGAGCAGTTTGGAGGTTTTCTCCCCACCCAGGCCAGATACTGCAGGGTCTGGGATACTCAGTGTGTACGCGAGCCTGGCCCGGCCCCAGGAAGCAGCGTCAGTTAAAATGGTTCCGTGTTTGTTACTTGAAGGGTGTCATCTCTTGACTGTCTTCCCTCTTCCTTCTGTCACTTCCTCAGATTGCTGCCTTTTCCAAAGAGTAGCCTCTCTGGCCCAGTCCCTTGGAGTCGCCTCCCGGGCCAGGGCTTGGGAACAAGGCCTCTGTGCGGCAGCCGATCTGCTTAGCTGAGCCCTGCGTAGTCTTCCTTTCTGTAACTTGAAGCAAGTTTCCTAAGCACATGGTGTTGAATGGCTTAGCATTCTGCAGGGTATAACATCCTCTTGTGCTGTTCTAATAGGGCAGTTGTGACACACCCTGGTTGTCTGAGACGTGTGCAGGCTTTAAGTAAGTGTGGTGAGCTGTCGTGAGCGTGGAGTGGATCTGCAGCCATACCTCTGTTTGAGGCGTGTGCCCCTCTCGTGGAGCGGTCACCAGGGCAGTGCTTCACGTGTGTGAGCCACGGGCTCTGAGGAGCATGTCTGAGCACCCTGTGTTCACTCCTCTGTCATCAGCAACAAGAGTGAGCCACACTTGCTGCACTAACACCTGTGGCATGCTCATCAGCATGATGGTCATTAGCTAAGCACGGGACATGTGTCATGAGTAAGTTCTAGGTTGGGTGTGGGCACTATTAATGAAAACAAGGCATCTGGTCTACTCGGTGACTGCATCTCTCCAAGGTGAGTCCTGAGTGTGGGAGGCTGAGCATCATCCAGCGTGGGACATGCTGGCAGCCTGTCTTATGCTCCAACATGAGTCCTTGTGATGTAAGACCATGAAGGGTGCGTTGGCCCATGTGTGTGAAGCCCTAGTCCCACCTGCTCCTACCGGCTGTGTACTAAGTTCTGGTTCAGTGAAGCTGAGGACGTGGATCTCTTTGTGGCCCCAATTCAGCATCAGCCTTCTCCCTCCACCCACATCGGCGTAGACTGATTCTAAGATTAATTTCTGCAGAACTGGAGTCACAGAGTTCTTTATCTTTGCTCTTTGGACAAATGTCCAGAGGGTGGACATCTGTCTTTCTCCTCAGGTTTCAGCAGGGTCAGTCATTCCCGCAGTTGTTGATGTTAAGCACGTAAGACAGGGAAAATGAAAGGTTATTGTCCTCCCCTAACAAGTGGAGACTTTCTCCTGCTGACGGCTACGGAAGGCACAAGAAGGAGCACTGTCCCAGCACGGCTTCTCCCTGCACAGAGGACTCACTCTCTCTGGCCAGTGCTGGAGGAAGCCCAGGGAGACGCTCTTGGATCCCACCCCCAGGCCGAGGGGAAGGCTCTTGAGCAGCTGCTGGCTTTGGTGCTGCTGGCATGAGGGAAGGGAGCCCAGGCCGCAGGTGCCAGGCTGAGTCTGCCCACTTCCCTGCCTGGCCATGAGGTTGCTCGAATAACAGGTTGGATTTTCAGTGTGCAGTGTAAAAGGTCAGTTCATGTTTTTATTGAGGTTTCGAGGTGGACAAGGTAGAGGACTTCGGTGGCTCTTTTTTCCCATGGGGAAACATGTAGAAAGCACATTTGCCTTCTACTGGGGAGAGATTGCTTTGTGCACATTGTTTTACAAGACGTGTCTCCTTAGGATTCAAAGAAGGCGGCAAGAGGAAGAAGCAGAAGCAGAGAGAGGAGTCGAAGAAGAAGAAGTCGACCAGGGGGCACCGCTAGCTGGGTGCCAGGTGCACTCTGCCCAGCAGGTGCTGGCGCTCGCCGTGCTCAGCACGGGGCTCCGGCTAGCGGCCTCACTCGCTTAGCAGCACGTGCACGCGTGATCACGGACCGGGCAGATTGGGGATGCGGAAGCCGGGGGTTCACGATCTTGGTGGTGGTGGTAGACACTTGGGACGCGGCCGCGACGTTCTTACCCTGCTTTTCCCCAGCACTAAACCGTTAGCATTTTCCCCTTAAAGTTGTTATGGATCTCTCATCCTTTTCACCTGCTCGGCCACTCTACAAACGACTGGCGCGCTTACAGCTGCAGCAGAACCGTAAGGCACAGGCGGGTGTCTGGGTACAAGTTCATGGCATGACCCCCTTTCCCGATGGCGCACACTGTTGGAGATTAGGGTGGAATCAGTGTAGTGCAACCTGAAGGCCCTCCAGTCGCAGCCGGCACCGCGCTGTCAGGTGCTCTTCCTTCAGAGCAGTCTTCAGCATACACGGGAGGCTGCCACGAACCACATAGATGTAAAGTCACTTCTTACATTTACTGTTTTAGTGTCAGTCCTCTCCAGGTGGTCCAAATTTGACTTCAAAAAAATTTTTTTTAATTCAAACTTCAGTTTTTGCTAAATCTCATCTCTTTTTCTTAGATCCATAATTCTTTCTGGCAAAAAGTTTTCTTTTGCTCAGCAGTACCACCTCTAGCTGTTATAGGTTAGGGTCGTGCTGGGGAAAAATAGGCTATTTATAGACACACAAAACAATCAGATACTGAGCAAGCATGCTGAACTAAATATTTCAGTTTGCAAACATAGGCTCATTAAAAAAATCATTTTATTCTGGCTAGAGTCGGCCCCGCTTCCTGTAACTGCTTTATCTGCATGGTGTGCTGCTTCCTGGCCTCATACTTGTCCAGCACTGAGTAGAATCCTGGCTCTGCCTTAACTTCCCTCGCATGCTCCCTCTCAGAGACTGTCGTCTTCCTTTTAACACCAGCACCTGCTGTTCACACTGCTGTTTCTCTGTCCTCTTGGAAGTGAGCTTTGCAGTGATTTAAAAATGCCAGCAGTTTTAATCTAGCAGTGTTGAAACTGGGAATTTTTTTTTAGCACAATCCATGTAGCAGTGCCACGGGCTGGGAAGCCAGGAGCAAGTGTGATGTGCAACTTTAAAGTGACCACTATAGACGAGTTTGCTTTGTTCACTTGGCTTTGATGGGGATGTGGTGTAGATGGTTGGGAGGAGGGTAGACTGGTGTGGAATGCTTAGTGTGGAAAATGTAACCCCTAAATGAATAATGAATTTTAAGTGCTACCTACATTAATAAAACGTGTTATTGAGTATGGCTCTCTTGCCATCTTTTGTAAGTTTCAGTGAGTTGCGCTGTTATTATTAATTAAAAATAAAAGCAATTTTCAATTATGAAAAATAGTGATATTTTGGGGGCAAAAGGCTAGATTCTGAGATGTGTTACTATAAGATGAAAATATTCCTTTAAAGATAACATTCCCATGAACACGTACAGTGTTAGCCAACTGCCTGTGCAACGTTAGTGGGAAACACCGGAGCAGCCAGAGGAGGATTGTCTTTTGAGCCCTTCTGGCTTTGGCTGGCGACCGCGGCGACACCACGCACAACACTCAGTGTGCCCTGCTCTGGCCTGGGGGTGAAGAGGAAGGCATTGCATAAGACCATTTCTAGGAGGTAAGGTTGTCCGCTACGTAACAGTTCTACCACAGATGGTTAGAGACGGTTTGGTAGCACGTGGGGCTGTAGCATGTGACTCACTCCCTTTCCCTCAAGGAGTGTGGTCAGGTCACTGCACAGGAGGTCCACTGTGGCTAGGGAGGGTTAGGAGCCGTGAGCATCTTTCAGACACACCAAGCCATGCGCGTGACAGGCCTCCTCAGAGCTGCTGGGTTCCCTTGCCTTGCAGGTGATCTCATGCCCACAGGCACCTTCTTTTTTAAAAAATTTTATTTTATTTTACCTCTCAATATACCTTGTAGTTGATTTTCATGCCCCTTTACTCATTCCTCTCCACCCCCTCCCCTCCCCTCCACATCATATCTGTTCACTTGACTTAAACAGTTCAAGGAATTTTTGTGGTTATTCTGTCTTCTTCCCCCCCACCTGTGATTTGTTTGTGTGTTTATTTATTTATTTTTAGCTCCCACAAATAAGTGAGAACAAGTGATATTTCCCTTTCTGTGCCTGACGCGTTGGGCCTCACTCACATGGTGGTCTGGTGGAACAGACCCACGCTCCGCATGGAGGCTGCTGGATGCACGGGCTGGAAAGAGGTGACAAGGGACGAGTGAACGGCCTTGCTTGGGGAAGGGGTCAGGTGGGGGAGCCCCAGGTACTCGGCCTTCAAAAGGTGACCCATCATCACTTTCGAAACTCTGCCATGAGCTGCTTTAAAACTGTGTTTATCCTGCAAACTGTATGTAACATAAAACTTTGCCATATTAATCTGTCAAGTGTGCAGTTCAGTGGCATTAAGGACATTCACATCGTTGGGCAACTGTCACCACCGTCGTCTCCAGGACCTTTTCATTTCACAGCACTGAAGCGGTCTGCATTCAGCATTAGCTCCCCATGCCTCCTCCCCGGCCCCTGGGAGCCGCCTTCTGCTTGCTGTCTGGGAGTCTGCCTACGTGGGGACCTCACGCAAGTGGAATCATGCAGTATCTGTCCTTGGGTGACTGGCTTTTGCACTGAGCAGTGTCCTCAGGTTCACTGTAGCAGGTGTCAGCATTTCCTTCTGGTTTAAGGCTGAGTGATATCACACTGCGTGGACTCACCACATTTCCTTGTGCCCTCATCCACTGATGGACACTGGGCTGCTTCTATATGAGCTGCTCTGATCAGCGCCACAGTGTGCAACCAGCGACAGCATCTGTCCTCTTCTTGGGAGGAGCCCGGTGCCTCTTCTGTGGAGGCAGGTGCTGCGTTTCTGTTCCTGTCCCCTTTGGTGGCTGATGGGGCTGTCCTGCTGCCTGGGGGTCAGGGGTGAATGTTGGTGTGTGTCTTCAGCTGTGGAGGATCTCAGTACCATGCAGCAAATCCCAAATATGGGAAGAGGGCCGGGTGGGGAAGCCTTCTGCAGAAGGTGTGGAAGTGTAGGAGGGTGCTGTGGGACAAGAGGTAGACTGGAAATGCAGCCCTGGGTCCTCCGCCCGCGTGTGGTGAGCACAGCTGTGTCAGCATGTGGGGCGCGCTAGTGGGAGGCCGAGCAGGAGGGTTTGTGCAGCTGAGCCGACCGAGCTGGGAGAAGGCCACACGCCCTTGGCTGCTCCCACTCAGGACACCGACAGTGACCCTGCCTCGTCCAGCTGCTGGGCATGTTCTCATGGAGTCAGATGCTCATGACTCTGCCTGGGCTGTGGCTCAGGGCTCTTCTAGAAAGATGGAGTGTGTCGTGTGTCTCTGTTAACTAGGGCTGCCGCAACACAAACCACAGATGGGGGGTGGGGCAGCTACCAGAATAGTTTATATCTCACAGCTCTGGGGCTGGAAGTCCAGCAGTGGGAGGGCTGGTTCCTCCCACGGCCTCTCTCCCTGGCTCGTAGACGCTCTCTTCTCCCCATGTCCTCACATGGTTGTCCCTCTGCACATGTCTGTGTTCTCATCTCTCTGGTTAAAGGGACATTGGGCATATTGGATTAGGGCCCACCCTAATGTCCTCACTTTAACTAGATTACTTCTGCAAAGGTCCTATGTCCAAATGCAGTCACATGCTGAGGTCCTGGGGTTTAGGACTCCAACACAGGAACTTTGGGGGACACAACTCGGCCCATAACAGGCACCACAGCTGGGGCCCTCTCGCATTTCCTGCCCCTCCGCCTCCTGTCAAGTGCAGTTCCTCGCCTGGGGCCCTGGGGACTTCACAGGTTTTCACTTGATCAGCAGCATCCATTCTTAGTGGACAAATGGATTTTTATGGCATAAAGATTACTGTGTCACTGCCCAACCAGCTGTTGCTTGTGACATGGGGCGATGAATCTTCTCATCACTGAGATCTCGGGTTTGATTTATGGGGTGGCCAGCTGCCCAGACCATCATCCAGGCCTGGGCGGGTGGGACCGGCCTGGGAGGGGCAGGGGCCTTTTGCTTCTGACCTGCTGTTTCCTTATTCTCCCCTCAGCAAACCCAGCAGCAGCGCCGTGAAGGGAGAGCCTGGGGCTTCTAGAAGCGCTGGGCTTGGGCTGAGACGCATCTGTGCAAGGATGTCCTGGGTACCCAGCTGTCCTTGTCCTTTGCAGCTGGAGCTCAAAGCCAGGACAGGAACATACCTCGCAGAGTCACAGATGGGGTGGGGGTGGAGGGGGGTTGAGCTTGTCTGTTCCCAGTAAGACTTCTCCCCACGTGCTTTACAGTCTGGTTTAATCATTCTCAGCCATAGATCAAGGTTATTTTGCCAAAAGCTGGGGCCACACCTTCTTCAGATTTGGGCAGGTGGGACGTGGAACTTAGGTGTGGCTTTGCTGTTGCTTCAACCCTCACTCCACTCCAGGGCCCAGCTGTGGCCTCACTTAGTGAGCGCCTACTGTACACAGGTGCCCCTCTGGCCAGGGACCTCGGGTTGACCCTCCGCTTGGAAAGCCCGGCCGGCTTAGCTGCTCCGTCACCAGTGAGGAGGCCCCTGAGGCCTCTGGAAGCTGACTCCATTGCTCTGATTAGGTCCCTTCCCCGACAGCAGGAACTGAATGCCCTTTCCTGTTTATGGGCCCCAAGAAGGAGGTGGGGCTGCTCCATTGAGTTTAATGCCCTCCTACTATGTGGGGCCTTGGGAACCCTTAAATAAAGCAGCCACTATGTGGAGTTGGAGTTTCCAATCAGGCATTTGGAGAAATTTCTTCTCAAAATGTTCAGAGTTTCAAAGTCTGCCCGTGTTGGAAGAAGTATCGGCCACGTCTTTTTATGATTCCCTTCTTGCTGGTCGTGGTCCTGAGACAGCCGGCAACACAGGCTGACCCTCACCAGAAAGTGGTGGTAGAACCGAGAGGGCCAAGAAGCAGCCTGGATGGGGAAGCAGCCTGGATGGCGTGACCTGTAATTTATCAACCAAACCTGGGATGCTTCAGAGAGCAAAAAGGGACTGTTAATAATTCCACCTGGAGAGTGGGTGCATGTGGCTGAAGGGTCAGCCCAGGGCTGGGGATGCGCACACAGGGTCTTCAGGGGACTGAACATTCTGAGTTCTAGCAGGCTTTTGTTTTTTTTTTTAATGTTGTAATATGGAAACTTTCAAACATACGGAGAAGTAGCTAGATTCAGCAACTGTTAATAAATGCGTGTGTGTGTTATTTGCAGAACCATTTTAAAGTAAGTTAAACTCTTCATTTCTAAATACTTCAGTCTGCATCTCTAAAAATATAAGGTCATTCTTCTATATTAGCTCAATACCATGATCACACCTCATAAAATTAATTATAATTCTCCAATGCCATCTAGTTCTCAATTCATCTTCAAAGGCGATTTTTTTTATCATGTTCTTAAGCCAGGGCAGGTCACAACCAGGTACAGATTCCCCACTCCACCAGGCTTCGGTCAAGACCACATGTTGCATTTGGTTATTATATCTTAAGTCTCAGCGCCTTTTTACCTTTTATTATGAATAATCTCAAACATATCATGTATTTGAAACCGATAATGCTATAAACAAAACCCGTGCCCATCCCCCAGCTCAACGATGTCGACACCTGTCCCATATTTTTTTTATCTGGACCCTCCCCTCCCCAACATTTTCAAGCAAATCCTGGACATCATTTGCTTCCGTCTGTAAATATTCAACATGTCACTCCTCTGCATTTGTTAGCTGGAAGTCTTCTGTAGAGATGAATTTTCCCTCACCCGTGCTTTGGGTCACTGAAGCACAGTTCATACAGAAGAGGTCTGATAAGTGCTGCATCTTTCCCTGATTTGCCGGTTTTCAGAATAATTAGTTGGCTCCCTGGCTTCCTCCAAGCTGACCAGTCACTTGCTCCTTTAAATCCTCAAGATTTTAATGTATTTGTTGTGTTGTGTCCTCTGAAGTCACTGCTTTTTGAAGCTCAGATTGTCCATCTCCAGTCGGTAGAGTCTCCTCCAGGGACTTGTGTTCTTTTGGTGACCCTGCAGGGCCTCTGTGGTGCCCCTGCCCTCTGGCTCTGGACCCAGAATCAGTCACTTCTCCAGGGAGACTGATCTGTGTTGTAAAAATGGCCATTAGGGACCACAGTCTGGGTGCTGGGTCAGGGGTTTGTTGCTACCGGCTGGTCTTTAGAGGCCTCGTCAGCAGGTGGAGGGAGAAAGTATTTTTTTAAGAGAAAATGCATCAAGGATTCATACTAATGTTTCCAATTCAAATTTAGGAATACAGGGTTTTCACTTGGATTTTATATCTGACTTTTTTCTGTTACTCTGAAAATTTTGGTTCCTAAT